AATTCCGTCTTTCTCATTGTATATTGGTTCGTTGAAGTTGAAGTACACATTAAGACTGAATCCTGAAGGCAACTCGTCCGGATGAATGGATAGTATTCCAACTTTCAAGCTGTTGTCAGATAAATGATTAACTTTAGAACAAGCAGCTTCCACGGGCGGAGAACCATTACCGAATGATTCGACTTCGAGTGATATCACACATTTGTATGAAGCATTGGTATTCCTTATACAGTCTATGATTCCAAAAGTATCTGGAAGTGAGTAAATAGGAAATTGTTTCACCATATGTTCCGGAATATTGGCCTACATTTTGCTATTGGGTGTTAAGGAGAAGCGCAGGTGCCTGGGATAGTGCAAAGTCAAGGATCAGAAATGTACATTTTTGGCAGACGGCAAAGATGTGGTATTGGAGAACCTGTTTGTTCAATGCTCTTATAAAAATCTTCGTCAACTAAATGACCACTTTTCAGTCTTTTTGGCGCATCCATGAATGTTTTGTTTCTTCCGTCGGTAGATCGGTTTTAAGGATGAATCGGTAACTTCACTGAGTCATTCATATCATTCGAGCTTAAAGCACTGCACCGTTATCTATGGTAGCATGAATGTGTCGGACAGAATTCGAGTAGAGAACATTCAACGGAACTTTACTCGGCGCCTACTAATACATAACGAAGGACTTCCTTACGAAGCAAGATGCAAAAAACTAGGACTAGAATCACTCTGGCTGAGACGCCTGAAGCTCAACTTAACACTTCTTTTTCGTCTTTTATTTACAAACCCTAAAACGAAATGTGCTGTCACTTTTAAAACAACACAGGCATATAATCTGCGTAATAGCGAGAACATCATCCCAATAAATAAGTATCGCTCAAAACTTCGATGTAGGTTTTTCATAACGCAATACAGTATGCTGTGGAACAAACTTCCCGCTCCTATACGAGCATGCCGTTCGCTCGGCCAGTTTCAACGACTACTTAGTAAATTCCTCCTATCTAACGAATCTCATCAATTCGTTGACGGCCAAACCACAAACGGTAATGCCATGCACTAAGGTACCTAGACTCAAGGGAGACTAACAGCAATGACATAAGTATACAATGCCGAAAACTAAACGCAATAGTTTAGTTAAGATCTAATTTCTTAGAAAAAAAATGACCAAGAGTGAACAGGAAGCGGAGTGCGACACGATATGCTACAGTGAACTTATTAGATACTCAAATGTAACCTACTTTTCTTCACAACCTAACCGATCTCACGACTTAACACCTATTTCCTAAAAATCGCCCCTTAAAGTAATCTCTCTACTCCGAAAAGATAAAAGAACTGTCTGTCGGTGCATTTTCATAGCATGCAACTCTTTATTATTTGCCCTTTGTCATCAGTACTTACATCTAAGTACTCTGCACCAACATAGTTTCGGTAGACCCGATATGGTAATGCTCAACAGGCAACACCATGATCATCCCCTCGTGACCAGATAAAGGGTGGTGGTCCTAAGAACAAAAAAAACCACGAATTTCACCTAAATGTTTATAACTTCATCATACGCTTGTACATAGGTATATAACAAGTTAATACCTGGTCAAATATCCTCTAATCTTTCTATTTCGTAGTGATATCTTCAGCTTCAGGCTGACTTTCATTACTGTCGTGCGCACCTTCATCTTCTTCCACCTAAGCTTACCTCTAAACAGTTGGTTCTGGACACTTCCTCAAGTAAGTTTAATAGTCAGTACAAACTCACCCAGATGTATCATGGTCGATCTACTCCTGCGTATTTTTGTGCTCCTGTTACAAATTTCGCCTGCTGCTCGCTTTTGTTATTCACTTTTCAGATTTACTTAACCAGTCCTGCATTCAAATGGAATCCTACAAATCGCATTCGTCAGCGGGAAATATTGGCACCGAAACCTGATGACGAACGCGCACACCCCAAGGTCATGACTGTGATGCGGCCTCACCTTCAAGAATATTGGATGATTCAAACGATGACCGGATAATCTTCAAATTCGAACTGAGCCTGCTTCAACATGCCTCCTATATGCCATAAATCACAGCATCTAATGTATAGCATAACATTGTACATAATAGTCATCTCTCATTACCAAAGTGATCAAACCTGTAAACTGGTTTGTATTCATGTAACCTTTGTTGCATGAAATATATTATTATTATTATTACTACTTGACATAATGTTGGATGTAGCCATTTATGTCACATCCATAGTTTTTCGTTGCCTACTTACATTCAGTCTGAAAAATGTATTGTTTCAGGTCGTTCAAGTGTTCGGAGCGCCTCTGGGTGACGCTTTATAAAATCTCCTCATATTCGCTTTGTGACATCTGAATTTGACGAAAAGTTGAGAGCAAGTCTACTGAAGCGTAAGTGAAAGGTGTCAAAATGGGCGAATAAGAACCGAAGTAAAATACTTTAGCCGTCCGACATTCTTTGAGTCGTAAGAACCCACGCAACGACAGATTCTCGGAGATTTTCATACAGTGAACAAAAGATACTACGTCCAGACAATATCCAATTAAAATGTCGAAAGAAAATTGCATTTTGGTCAACACGTTTTTCCACTTTCCTTTTGTAATTATACTGTTCAGAACAACTGTAGCTGACATTTGAATAAACTTTGAGTGTTCTTCTTCGTTCGCTCCCGCATCACCTGCTGAGCAGAATGTTGGTAAAGCGTGGATGTCTTGTCAATAAATTTGTCGTCCTCTTTGTAAATTTGATGTTTGATGTCAGGGTTAAGTGGTGCAATTATTCACCCCCATCGATGGGCTTGCCATCGTTTTTCAGTCCCCTCTTTGTGAAATGTCTCTCACTACGTATGTATTGTGAATAAGGGCTCATTGAAATGGGCCGTGGGGGAGTATATCAGTTTTAGGCAGCTAGCTTGATCTTCCCTTCCACTGTTGCATTCCGAGTTTATTCCAAGGGATTATGCTGATGGCTAGTAATAGCAGCTGATGGCCGTGCGTCACAAGCTGCTGAAAATCGCCCTACGGATGTAAGTTAATTAAAGGCTTTTGTGGGGCGTAGATCAGTTATGGATTTGGATGCTGTTGGTCCGTAGAGAATGCGTCTATCTGTATTTACTTCATTCCGTCATACACCGTTTTCCTCACCAAGCGACAAAAGGATCGTCGCATTTTTCATATTTGTTCTTTCTTCCCAAAAACAAGTGAAATTTTAAACGAAAGCCAATGCCTATTAAAACCCGATCGGCACGCGTAAGCTCAGAATTCAATACTGCTTTATAAGTTCTTGTGCCTGCAAATAAAAACCGTTCACTTTTGACTTCATAACTACGTCATTTGAGCACATCACTGCCCACTGCATTTTGCTCTGTACGCTAACAGCTCAGTCTCCCTTGATCACACCTTGTCAATGATGTGAAGATTTGGAGAGAGTTAACCAGTATGACGAGGTAGGCGCAGTGGAAAGTGATCTCAGCAGCTTCCTAAGCTTGTCCGAGAATTGGCCGACAATTTCTGTCACATCTAAGAGCGTGGTCAGGCCTGTTTTTCACACAAGTGATCACACTGGTAGTATTCAACAACATTCAGTACTAATCCACTACTACCCAGGAGTTGTGATGACCTGAAATCGATGGCCAAATAAGGATGTCGTACAAACACATCTCTAAGCTTCGAGAAAAGCGGATTTTTTCACGGTGGCAAAATAAGTGTGGGTATCATTCCGTGCATGAAATTAGTTGGGCCTGTATGGCAAAACAATGTGTGCGCACCAAACCACTGTATGAAAAGTGACCCACAGTTATTAGAAACAGTTCTGGCAGCAGCCACATTCACGATGTACTTTATGAGGGTTGAACTGAGGGGATGAATCCCCCCACTGTTTCACTTAAATGTAAGCTACCAAAGGAAATGAGGTGTCCTGATAACAGCCTGCAAGATCATTCACCAAGTGGAGTATACAAATTGGTTAACGTTATCGGTCAAAAACCGACACTCCTGTGGAAACCGAACTTGCATGCCCCACCACAAGGTAAAGACGGGAGTGAGATGAAACTTCTCATACATAGTATGTGCCCTATGAAATGCTGTACCAAAGGAAGTAGTCACATCAGTCGACTCCTTCAAAAGAATACTGAGCGCAAATGGCTTGGCACCAACACTTGGTGGTAGCAACTGATGCTTTGCCCTTCCATCCTTGTACTCCTCAACACTACTATCCGCAGTAAGACGCAGCCCTTCTCCATATTGTTACCAATAACATTTACCTTCCCATGTGTACCTTTTACTCTTTTTCTCATTCCCCACTCACCCCACTTCTGTCACTTTTCAGGTGACGCTAAATACTTACTTGCAGGTGCTTACGAAAACTGGAGTTACAAAAAGTTAATTAATCTTGTCAGCAGCTCCGCTGTGCCCACTGGAAACAAACCAAGCTGTGATTCAGAAGGAAAATTCCTTCAAGTAGACAATGACTACCTCCAAAGCTATAAACAGAAAAAAACGCAAAGACTTCTGCAATCCCCGAAGGAGTTAAACCAACCGAAAAGAACCAAGCCCCAAGACCCAGAAGCGAGAGCCCAAAATTAAAAGCTTCCTCTACTGGCATTACTGAACCGGAAACTTGGTGGCCGTTGGTTTGAATCCGGACGCGATCAAAATTTTTATTTCACCTTTAGTCATTACCCTGTATAAATACTAGTCTACCAGACTACGGTTATCTTAAAACCATGGATCTGTAACCGTTCCACAAGACCTAGAAGAGAGCGAAATGAAATCGACTGGTTTACACTAGCTCGAAAAAGATATTGGATTGATGTTAAATGTCTGAAACTCGTTCAACAGGAGGTAGAAGATTGGGGAGGAATTTTGTTAAGGGCATGCTGCAAACTATGTAACCTTGTACTTCTAAACCAAAACAGGATCTAATTCTGATTCTTACAATTGGGGATTGGACTTTCACTAACCTGAAAACACATTGCTGGAGGTCGCTGTGAGTTTTTGAAAATTTCGATAATGTTTGAGATTGGTCGTCTCACTGAGAATCCTCTTGTTGTTGGCAATAGTCTAAAGACTGAAAATTCTCAGGTCAATAAAAGTACTCGAAAATTTGGATTGCGAGACATTAACATCCAACAAAATGCTCCTGTACAACAAGAACTAAAGCAAGGTCCGAAGGTGCTTGTTCCTGAAGAAGCTTTTGGAGATGAACGCGAGAATTATATTCCTCCTGGGGACACAGGTGCTATTTACAAATGATTTGTTTTATTTCAGATGAATATAATTATATACATGAGCGGCTGGTCAACTTAAATTCGCTGCTTGATGGGGTGATTTTTCTGTCATGTAAAAACTCTTCGGTTAGTACGGAATATCTCATCGAAAGTAAGCATTCATTTTACACATTTGATACTTGCAGGTGATACTCATGAGTGTGACGTATCAGACATAGAAATACCAGATGATGAGATCAATGCTATATTCACCCATATTGGTTAGATTTTCGAAGTATTGTTGAGTCTGATTCAGAAATATTTGTCCTACTTTGGGTTGATGTTCTTTTTGAAAATTCTGTAGTCATTTTAATATTTTAGAAAAAAAGTAATTGGCCCACTGTAATTTCATGCTGCACTTTTGATCATGGTTTAATTTTCGTTGTCCATGTTGACTTCTTAAAGATGTTACTTGTTTGGTAACATTGCTTCTGAGTGTTGGTTGAATCGCCAGTATGTTGGATGCCTCAATAACCTGTAACGGCGTTCTTTTTAGCTACTGAATTCTCTGTTGATCTTAACTCATCCATTGCCACTAAATTTCGTCAATGTAGTTGTGTATCACTACTTACAGCTGACACATGGACTCTTGATTATGATATAATTGTGCAAAGTCGGTTTGGATTCAAACTTCATGAGCTGTCGCTCATTGTTGCTGACAGCCGACTTCATGGGTCCAACGTCTTTTCCACCAGCGGAAGTTTTTAAAACCAGTTTGTAACAAGTCTCACCAAATGAATGGCTCCTAGTTTACACTTATATTCAAAATTTCTTGTGACGAATGCAGTCTGAACTTGTTGACTGCAGAGTTGGTACACAACTACGAATAGCTTAAAATGGCTTCGCCTTATTGTTCGTTTTGCATGCAGAAATATGATTTCATGCCCATCGTTCTCCTTATTCTGTCTGCGATCTGAACTGCAGCGTAATACAGCTTTATTCTATTTGCTGGGCCACCAAACAGAAAGTATGCAACTGACTACAGGGATTTCTAGTGTGTTTATTTTAGCAGTGGTACGGATCTAGTGTAAGTATCTAAAATATATCATATTTTTTGAATCGTGTCTAGTGGGTCATCAGGACGAAGTGGTATTGTGTTTACGTTTCACAGGTGTATATCGGCCTTTAATTTCCTCTCCATTGTTCCCTACCAGTAAGCATACAAGAGTTGCTCTGTAGTGGCTCAAGTCTCGGTGATCAAGTCTGCTTTACAAGTTTACGAGCGCAAACAGCAGAAGCATGCAGATTTTGTTTTGTTAGTTACAGTTTCAATATAATTGTCTTGACTAAAAGATTAATAGGTAGGTCATCTTAAGCAACATCTCGAAATCACGATATTTTGGATTGAACACGTGTTACTGGTTTGATTGTTACAATCAGTTAGTCAATATCAGTGTGTGGCCGGGCATCGTTGCATAGTAGTTCGAGTCACCTTACTCTACATCAAGATACGAAGCAAAAAGGCCAAGGATAAATGATTGCATTGTGGCTAAGTGTTGTAGGAAACCAAACAACTAATAAGAAGACGAATTCAAGGAAACAACAGAACCGGAGAAGTTACTAACATAAATATTGGGTGTGGATGTATTAGATCTAGTGGAGTCGATGCAGAAGGATATTACCGAGAGTCGCCAGCTGTTGACTTCGGTTGTCGTGTGATGTCGACCTGATTAGCTGTCCGAAACTTCAAGAAAGGGCATCACGTATTGGTTTACTGGTTTTTTTTCATCCTAACCTGGCTGCAGCAAGTAAAAGGCACTGGTGCAGATTGTGGGTCATTCAAGATCAAAGTCGAACCTAGCTTTAATGCGTAACAGTGTTTGTTGCAATAGCACCAAGGTTAAATTTTGGTAAACAAGAAAGACAGTAATCAGCGTGTGTAACATATTTTGATGTAAACATTATCTCTTTCTACTAATTTCCAGCGATAGTTGTTAACATCTGTTGACTAGTACACCATAGCCATCGATGAGTTAATGTACTAAATGTAATTCCCGGAATATTAGCATCTGTGATCTAAGAGATCCAGGTCGGAATCAAAACTGATAAGAACGTCGGAGGTTGTAAACTAGTGTACAAAGAGGTCATCGGCAGAGAAAGACTAGTATCCAGGTGAAGAAAAGTGTAAACCAAAGGAGAAGTAGGTTGACATAAATAATATATTCAAAATTTACATTGTGATGAACAAATCAACTTCACTGTGGTCGATTCTACCCTATATCACCATAAGTCTTCAGCCATTCCTCCCGAAAAGCTTCTTCAGGAATCCTTTGCAGGTTAAACGAGACGACCAAAATCCCCTTCCTTGACTTGATGGTCGAGCTTGTATATCACGACTGATCTAATCTCAGGAGCATCCTTAGTAGGTCTAAAATACGCAGATGATGTAGTTCTCTTACGTAAAGGAGCAGTCTACTGAGCACCCTGAGTAGCAATTTAGGAATGTCTGGAATAAGTTTTTCGCCACCCAAATGCCAATTGTTGCTCCAGGACTGGTCTTTGGTGATGCCGTGTGACAGTAGGTAGTGAAGCGGTTGAGTGCATTGACCGCTTCACCTTCCTGCGAAGTCAAATGCGCCCAGGTAGATAAAAATGACGATTAAGATGAGAAAAATATGTGGATACATCTGCACCACTGACGTCGAGCAATATCACCTAGAGTCTCCAAACACTGGTTTATGTTGTCACATGGATCCCAACCGGCTAGTCTGCGTTTCTAAACGTGACTCAAACCAGAAACCAAGGACTTCATACAGTGGCGCTCTGTTTTAGTCTGGTCACTCCTAACCCTTTTACAGCGTATTCCTACTTCAGTCAACGTTGTGCGACGAGGTAGACAGTGACTAGGCATGCGTAACATGTGTCTTTGCCACCTAAGTCAATGAAGATTCAAAACCTCACTACCTGACTTTCCTTTTCTCTCTAAGACTTTATACATGGCTTGTACGTTGCTTACGTGGTGACATCATGACGCACTGCTTATACTGCGAAGGCGATGGTAGTCAAACACCAGAAGCCACCGCATATGATCTACCTTTTATGGTTATTTTCCACAGCTGTGCGGTAGAACAGAGCAAACGGCAGCACAGTACACTCGACCCTTAATAGATAATCGGATGTCACAGCGGCTGTACAGGCGGCGTAAGTTAAGGAATGCCAATGGAGTCTTTTTCATCCATGCAGAAATTTCGTTGGCTACTGATCTACCAGGGCGTATCTGATTTCACAGGCAGATGAAGTGGTCAATACACTCGATGGCTCCACTGAAGACCAGTCCTGAGTCAAAAATTTGCATTTGGGTGGCGAAAAACTTATTCCAGACATTCCTAAATTGCTACTCAGGGTGCTCAGTAGACTGCTCCTTCACCTAAGAGAACTACGTCATCTACCTATTTTAGCTCTACTAAGTACTCTCCTGAGATCAGATCAATCCCTGTGGTGTCAGGTGACGAGAGAGACGTCCATAAGGACATATGTGACTAAATTGATCAGGAATGGGCATCGTTATGGACACCACTCCATGTACACAGCTCATGAGACAACTCACCGTAAGCTGTGACATAACACAGATGTTTGCGTAAAGCGCCTTTAACAAAGCGATGTACTTATTCTGTAGCCCTTTCAGTGAGACACTCCCGTAAGACCTATCGATCGACGTAGTCGAATACTGCCTTCATGTCGAGAAATATAGTCGGGCATCGGTCAGTGTATATGTATTCCAGAACCTGGTGGAGTTTGGGTATCTGGTCGTCCAGGTCTGAAGCGAGGCTGGTTTTTTCACGTCTACTGTCCCCCAGCTCCACTCAGAAGTTTAGTGATAATAGGATCTACAGTCTTAGAAGCTACGTTCGTCAGGCTGATTCCTCTTTAACTATAACAGGTGAAATTCCTACCTTTCTTGAAGTCTAGAGTGATTAGTGATTGAGACTAATCAGATGGGTCATACTTAACACATACACACACACACACTAGTTAGGACTTCAGTCAACTTGCCTAAAAATCTAGCAGAAAACTTTCTACCTTAATGTTCAATGCTATACCTACACCTGCAAGACCGTGAGAACTGATCATTGAATCTTCAGAAACTCGAAGGGTGGATTTTGCGAATTCACCATATTGATCTAGTGAGGTTGAGTAAATAAGCTCACTTGGGTTCTGTATGCGTGTCTCACAAACACAGCATACACCCGTGACCCGAGTCGCTAGAGTTTTGGCTGGTGAAGCTTGTCGGAGGGCCCAGACATTGAAAGCTCAAATATACGATTTTAAGCATGGTTTCAAGAGATTAGGAGTGCTATTGTGTGAACTGGGATCGTTGTCGAAATCTGCAGAGCTGAGAGAAAGTAAAGGTGTAGGCTTATTAACCAAGAGATGTAAAGAAATATTTGAAGTTGAGAATTCGGAATGTAGACAGTGGTCTGGAAGAAGTTATGGGGACGGTTAACACTTCCTGACTGCCTTCCCCATGACAGGCTGTTTCTTCTTGACGTGTCTAAAAAAGAAGGGTTAGTTCGTGACCACAGAGCCTAAGGGATATGAGCTTGAAGCCGGTCGCGTATAGCCTTTTTTCAAGTTTGAGATTTTGGCCTTTTGCTTTCTAATTCCATTGTGAACCCGTGTCGTTGGCACTAGTATTTCATGGGGTAGGGGGATTGTGCAAGATTTTTAACTCCGTTTCCGATAGGTGGTGGTGCTGTTCATCCATGGAAACACCTTACTGCTTTCACACCTGCGTTCAGTCAGCAGTACGACTTCACACTCAGGTATCAGTCTTATCGTAAGTTTGCCTTATTATCGTGACTGCTTTTTTGCTGACCAATCTCCAGGAGATTTTCGTAATATGGTGGTCAGAAGTGTATCACCGCACGATTTCCCTTCATTAAGTCCTTGAGGTTGACATAAATGTTCAACGTGCTTCTGAGTTGTAACACCAAGTACTTATGGTATGTTCTCAACTTGGTCATTTCTCGTAGAATGGGACGTTATAGCCTCAAATTTACTGTTTGTTGTCGCTCGTTGGAATGTTGCGTGTCACAGAGCTACGTACAAGGGTTGTGGGGATGGTTGACCGCAACACATCTCGATTCTACTGTTTCGCCTTTATTTCTTGAAGTATAGACCTTAATTGGTTGTTAAGTTGGTTATGAACTGGGTGTATTTGAATTATACCAGGTGGCTACTAATTTTGTGAAGTACTTTAAGACTTAGTTATGTAATTAACTTAACTGGGTTTTAATATATGAATTGCGCCGTTTTATATTCTCGAAAAAATTTATTACACTTCAGTTTAATTGGTGTGCTCTAAAAGGAGTGCTTTGATCATCCTTTTGAAGTGAAGAGTATACTCTGTGTATTTAATCATTGTATATTTCAGTAAGGAAATGCATTAATCGCGGATTTGTTTAGTTAGTCTTCAATCTATTTGCCTTCAACCGTAGTACGGACGCTTCTGCAAAATTTCTGAAAACAAGAAAAAAGTATGCATACATTAGTGTATCTCCGACTAGAACCTATTTAATAACTGAAAACATATCAACTAATAAAGATAATAGTTCAAATTCCAGGGAAATTATAGAGAATCTGATTATGAAGTAGTTATCATGAGCCGAAACGGAAGAAGATGGACTACGATGAAACTATGTATGCATGAGATAATCGTTACACTTTGAGTGTAGATTGGAAAATGAATATGTTTAGGTGGTGGATTTACTTATGATATAATTTGCTTGGTTGTGGCTTTTGTATTCCTACATATTATAAAGTATATTGAGGAAACATTTATAAGTGCATTTCCAATTTTTCTTATAAGATATTACTGATGTAAAAAATCAAGACATTGTTTTTGGATATATTTTAGAGCTATGTGATATTTCTCCCACACGTAAGGGCTCGAACTCTTGGTAGGAAACAACTATTTAAGATTCATTTATTTCAGATCCAAAAGTTGTTCATTACTTTCTCGAACTGTAGCAAGTCGGTAGATTTATACCTTCCAACAATGCTGTTTATGTATTATTTATTTTTATGAAGTTTTTGTATCGTTTTTCATTATAAGAAGCAAACAGAAGCAGACCCTGTGACTGTGCACATGTTGCTGAAAACCTGCTATTTTTACTTATCAGCCTTACTTTCCTGTCTGAATTTATTCTCAATGTTAAACTTATGTGCAGCTATTATTCAGAGAAATAACATCAGCAATGCATCCTATTATTTTCAATGCATATTTAAATGGGCCTCGTACTTATATGTAGCGCAGAAAGTTATATATTTAGTTTCGCTCATTCATAGAACATCAGTACGCAACACTTAGTGACTAATCTGTTTTAGACCTGCTTAGGAGTTCATTTTCATAACTTAGCTGGTAGAACAACTGGCTGTTAACTTCAAGGTCACATCACCGGTTCTTTTCATGAAAATTGAAGTTCTTAGGACACTTCCGCAATTCTTATTCTTCATCAATAAACCTTATCGGATAACAAAGTGAAAGTTTTATAAAATTACGGAAATTTAATTACCTCGTCTTGAATCAAGGCAGTTTTGTAACCAAGTATTGATTAACATTTCATAATCCAAATGATCACCAATTAGACTCTGAAGAACATTCTTGACAATTTTTGGATCTATGTGACATAAGGATGCCACTGAAATGATCATGAAAAGGGAAACGAAGGAATCGATGAAACATACTTCAATTTCGAAATTCAGATAACAAATAGAAATATTAGATCTATGATGGATTTAGTACATGATTGGAAACAAATGAAATCAGAATCAGTATGTAATATATAAAAATATTAAAGACTGTTCCACATTTTAGCAGAATGACACATCTTCGTACGCGCCCGTAATAGGAAATTTCTAGCATCAAAATTATTGTTTTTCGTCCGATCTGTACATTGAGATGATTAGAAAGATTTTGCAGGTGATTTGTTTTCAATCAGATTAAGATAACTGTGGTATGGCAGAGTGATACGGAAGGATGATTAAAGGGGAAATGAAAACCTGGGTGACGATAAGGTTCGAACTTACGGACTTCAAGTTACCAACCTGATGCTCTACCAACGGTGATACGGGACCGAGACGCTGACCTGGTCTTAAATTCAATTCAACCATCAAAGTATGTTCGCTCAGCTTCCCATTTACTTTCTTAGTCGTTCTTTTCTATGTATGGGAAATAACTGGTTAGGTTATTTCGACATAATTCCATTAGATATTTCGCTGAAAGTTATCAGTGTTCATGTTAACTGTTCAATTTAATCTTATAATGTATGAGCTTGCAGTATTATACTGTCAAAATATTCATTTAATGCAATGTATCTGTAGTTTCACAGAAACAGAACGTGTAAAATTAATCAAGTTAACAGTTATTTGTCATAAGATTTTTCTTACTTAAATATGTCAGCAGAAGTCTATCTAACTGCAGTGTTTGGAGAACATGGGCTGTAATATGCGAAGCAGCATTAATTGAATGTTTTCTAACTTGTCTTGTCGATGAATACCGGCAAACATTAAATTCGCATTATTTGCCTGAATTCTTACAAGATAAAATACAGTATGTTATGATTGGTTGTCACAAATCACTGTTGCAGCAATGCAAAATTCAACTATAGTATATCGGACTAGAAAGTCTGATATTATTCACTATCTAGTTACCAAGTAGTGTACTTCAAAGTGAGATGCTTTTTAAAAAATCGAGTTGAAGTAAAAAAAAAGTTGATCTGCCCTAAGCATCGCTTTATTGCATATGATAATTCCAATAACCTATGCTGATTATAAAGAAACTAACAAACAGGTAGACCATTTTGGAGTTCCTTTTTTTAACATTTAATAGCAAAGCTCCAGCTCAATACAAGGTTAACAACAACTTTAACTTATGATTTTCTAATTTAAGAGAGTGTAGATCTTTCAACTTTCCACTGCTTTATTACACTCGTTTCATTTCGATTGCCATCATCTAAACTAGAGATGGACTGCATTAAAAGATGAAATACTCTATATTTGTTACAATTCTTCAAGCTGATATTTTAGGCCTAATTCATATTAACAGCAAACCCAGGGAAATCTCTTATTTTGGCTGAAAGCAGATTAGAAATACTACGTTATGGATTTGCGCTAGCACCATCCTCATTACAGCTGTAAAAATAGTGCTATATTTTGTTCATTCATAAAATGTGTAATTCATTCAGCATATATAATAATTTCTAATACTCTTCGCAACGACACTTCAGAAACTAGCAAGAGTGTTTTATTGCGCGATTAATTTACATCCATAACAATTAGTTATTTCAATTTGGAGGTTTATTGGGATTCGGTTGATTTCGAGTTGATATATTCATCATGGGTTGACGTCACTCAAAGAAGTGTTGAGCACTAGACGTCTGTTTCGTCCTGGCACGAGACTCCTCAGCAGTGCGCACCCACGACCACGCCAGGGATTGACTCCAGGTCCCACGTTCGGCACGTAACCATCGAATCACCAGGTCAGAATCCAATGCACATCATTTTCTTACTTCTATTAGTTCACGATATAGTTAGGGTTAGTGTTCAGTACCTGTCCTCAATTCTGACTTTATTTGCCTCACCGGTTACGTCTTCTCACTAGGAAGAGCTCTAGAAAATCTCATCTCTAAGAAAGTCACTAATGAGTAGTGGATGATAATTCATTTTGGAGGTTTATGAGCATTTACTGATTTCAAGCCAGTATTCATCATGGATCGACAGCAGCAGGAAAGTGTGGACCAGTAGATTCCGTCGAAGTGGCTGAATGGTAGGATGCGGGGTGTGGAACCTGAAGGTCTTGTCTTCGATCCCTAACGGGGTCGTGGGTGTACACTGCCGAGGAGTGTCTCACTAGGACGAAACAACAGACTTGTGTGCCTAGGCTTTCAATTAAGGATTTATCAAACAAACTGAGTGATAAAATTTTTTCAGTGATCCGAAGACTAGGAAGAAACTGCTTATTGGGCTAATATCATAAAACTTGGTAGAATTATAGTGCTAATCAGTAAGAACAAAAACCCTAAGGTGCGGGTACATCCAGATGGTATATCTCAGATATAAAGAAATGTGTGTCATGGATTCTACTTTCGATCACCAAATGTAAATAACCAGAATTCATGCTGTTTGAAATTTCAAATCAGTTGATAACATCCATACGCTCTCAATTTTATAGTAACGAAAAATACTCATTTGGTCATCGAGAAACAAAAAAAGTCAGAATGAGGGTAATTATCTATTCAGCGACTCATTTTCACACCTGTACATTTGTAAATATATGAACAAAATAATGGGATGTTCCAGACAAGTTTCCAGTCAAAGGTCAAACTTAATCGACATGTGTATGCAGGGAGTGAAATGATATTACGTAACACAAGATATGATCTCATTGGCTTTTTATAAAATACAATGAACAGCAAGATTTGGTATCTGGTATAATTAATCAATAAACATGTAATGAAATATTAATTGATAAATAAAATACAAAATAGAATGTAAACTGAAGTACAGAGTAGCTGGTTAAGGCGGTTGTAAAGAGTGTTTGTTCACGTTTCTTTTGAATACACAGTTGAGGTACGACTTACCCACTCAGCTATTTATGAGCAAGTGAAGTTGTAAATACACATTCATGAGGCCCGATGTACTAGCTTGTCTTTCATGCACTGCTGAATCAGCTGTTGACATGACATGGACCTCATGAATGTGTATTTACAACTTCACTTGCTCATAAATAGCTGAGTGGGTAAGTCGTACCTCAACTGTGTATTCAAAAGAAACGTGAACAAACACTCTTTACAACCGCCTTAACCAGCTACTCTGTACTTCAGTTTACATTCTATTTTGTATTTTATTTATCAATTAATATTTCATTACATGTTTATTGATTAATTATACCAGATACCAAATCTTGCTGTTCATTGTATTTTATAAAAAGCCAATGAGATCATATCTTGTGTTACGTAATATCATTTCACTCCCTGCATACACATGTCGATTAAGTTTGACCTTTGACTGGAAACTTGTCTGGAACATCCCATTATTTTGTTCATATATTTACAAATGTACAGGTGTGAAAATGAGTCGCTGAATAGATAATTTCATAGTAGTTGGAATACATTTCGGGCTAAAGAGATTATGGTATCTGTGTTGAGGGAAATTTTAGGAAAGGTATTTTTTGCAGAGGTTCTTGTTAATCTAATGAAATTAGTTATATTTGGTAAGATTTGTTCATTAAATTGATAATTATGTTCTGAATTTAAGAAAAAACATAAAGAGATAAATTGAGGTTTACTGCAGGTTAAGTAACGATATAAAGTGAAATCAGTGAATATGGAGAACTAGTAATAACATTGCCTCTAAGGTTACATTTAGATGCATAATTAGCTGAGGTTCAATTAGATAAGGTTTAACTGTATTAGTTGGTTAGATTCCATTGGCACGAAGCAGATTCCATGCTTTTGGAACACGTCAACAAGGTGTAGCTGCAAACTCAAGGTTCGAACACGCGTCACCCAGTGTTACAGTCTGAGATATTAACACTGAGCTATTCTGGCCTCCTTTAGGACTAGATTACAGACATTATCTGGCCACCGGAGATAAAGCAGGTTCATGTTATAACTGTAATTGTTTTTCTGATTTCCCACTCACATTACTTTAAATAAATTAAAATTCACCATTATCATGGATTTATATCAGCTGGGCGATTGTTTCTACCAATGTATGAAATCTTAATTAATGCGTACAGTGCAAACAGTAGTTCATTTGGGAACCTTTTGGGGGGTCCTATTGATTCTAGGTTGGTATCCATCATGAACTGACATTATTTAGAAAAATCAATGGGATTTTTTGTGTTCAATAAAAATTGATACTGGGAATGATTAAAGATGAAATGAAAATCTTGGTCACGGCAGGATGGCCTACTTGTTAGTGACGCAGTGAGCTAAAAGCTGAGTTGCTGACAGGCTTTTGTCCGGCTACTATGCGGATTCATGACGCATAACTATCAGTTCATCATAACAGGAAACTGAATACATATCTAGGCTGGCGAACTCGTAACATATGTTAGTTTCATTTTCAGTACTGGCAGCTTGTCTACTGTATTATCTGTAACTGTGATCCTCGAAAATGAATGTTCATCGGTTACCCCTAGTTATATTCATTTACTGTTTTGCATTCTTTTTAGAGGTCTTTTTCCATTTCATGCTTAGATAGGTAGATAGACACTTGGAATTTTTCTTGAAATTTACATCTAAGGTTAGATCAGTTTATTTCTCATTTTGAAGTAATTATCTCGCATTCACTTCATCATACTGTACAGCAGGATCAATCGATATAAGCTAATTGAAAAGGATATCCGGTCATTGTCAGGAGTAAAAAATGTATCGTTTCACGTAACCGTTTCTAGTAAGTCTTCTTTTCATATTTATAAGCTACCCAAAGCTGAAAGACTTTAAGCTAGATTATAATTGATTTTACACTATCTAATCTTAAGTGGTGATCAAATCTTGTCAGTTTAAGTTGACTATGCAATCAATTAGTTAATTGACTCTTCATCATGTTACATTCCATTTGTAGCTTATCTTGTATGAAATGTATTACATTATTATTATCATTTGCTGTAGAGGATGTTTATGGGAGTGCAAAC